AACTGGGAACGAGATATTCGTGATAATTCTCCGGCGGGTGAGCGAAGATGCTTTCCTGTCATTTGCCAGCATTGAGCCGTACTTCATCACGGAGGATCATGAAAAGGCAGAAGCGATGATAGACGAATACTTCCCTGAGGGTGCTGAAGACGCGATCCTCGAGTTATACTTCGAAGAAGAGATCGAAGAGGAAGAAGCATATTATGAAGAAGAAGAAGAAGAGCATGACATAGAGATTCGAAAAGAAGAAGTATTTGCTACCTATGAGTTTACGTGAATTTGGTATTTTTTTTCATCTTTATATTTCCTTTTTGTTGGTTTTATATATAATGCCAGTTCTAGTCTAAGAATATTTTTTATAAATATTCAAATAATTTGATCGTAATAATAATATATTCAATTATCTGTATATTTCATATATTTTAAATAATATTATGTCTAATACTATTTTTTTAATTTTGACACATTAATAGACATAAACAAAAAAATCAACAAAAACATTTATTAAGTTTTTTCTCTAGCAATGGTCTTTGATCCCGAAATTTTAGCTTGGTCAGTAATCGGTCAAAAATGTCTACTAACGCAAATAATTAAAATTTAACAATACCTGACAAAGATATATCGCAACCAATCAATTATTTCGAAATTATCCGTAAAGAAATTAACCAGACAAAGCAAACTTGTATTTTGCAATTAATAATCTTCCAATTTGCTAATAAAAAATTAAACAAAAATTTTTCTCGCATATTTCTCGATTTCTCATCACGTAGAAAATCATGAACAAATGTTTAAAGTTTATCGAAAAAGTTTCGTCGTGCCTCGAATAATTTATAGGCTCGATTTTTTTTTTTTCCGCCGACCAAGAATTTCATTCTTCGCGCGTTTTGGCAGAGCCGGGATTATACTTGAATATTCGCTATCGTTGGCAACGTGTTTGCGTAACTTTGGCAAAATTCCAGCCGATACCATGGCCTCTGGAGGTTATATTACGCACCTGTCTCGCTGGTAATTTTTTAATCATGACCCGTCATGGTTGCCAACATACCGTCAAAATCAGCCATATTCACCTCGGTTATGTTACATTGTTGCACGTCGCTTTTAATCGTTGGTTATAAATTGAATAGAATAATTGGATTTCAACCAATTGTAGAATTTGTTCAGCAGGTATTAATAGCATAATCTTATATGTTCTTTGTTATATTATTAATATATGAAATTATTTAAAGTGGATCGTTTACTGTGTCATTTCCAAAAAGATTAGATTAGACTAGGTTAGGTTAAAACTATTACAATTTTTTGTTATATTTTTATTTCTAATATTTGATTTGGATTGAAATCATCATAAAATTAAGATATTTAATAAATTAATTAAGATATTATAATAGTTATAAAAGTTATTTGTAAATATACACATATTGAAATAAGATATTAGATTGTATATATGAAAAATGGATTAACATTTAGTTTCATAGTATATGATTTAGATAACAAATAAAATTGCTAATTTAATAGAAATATAAATATTAAAGTCTTTATTAAGTCCAATTATCATATATTATTATATAAATCTATATAACAAATAAGTATTTTTTGCAAGTAAATGGAATGAGTTATTCTCTATCCACTTGATTTTATTCTACTAGATACTGATAATTTTTTATAATTCTTAAGGATTTAATTTATTTTTGACATATGTTTATTCACTATTTTTTATTTTATTTAAGTTTATGTCACTTTTTATGAAACTATTAATAATAGCTAGATTTTTTATTCATAAAAAGAATTTATGATTGTAAAAAATTATTGGTTGTAGAATTTTTATATTAAAAAGTATATGATATTTTGATAGAAGATAAATTAATAAACGTTTATGACAATCATTTAAAATGATTAAAAACCATTGAAAAAAAAATTGACAATTTATTTTCTTCGATGAATTGATTTTTTTATTCTTTAACTAACTAAAATTAAGTAACTAAAATTGGTATTTTATCAGAACTAGATATGGCATTTAACAATAAGTATAACACAACAATAAGTATATAAGTTTTTTTTAATATTGAAAATTAATTAACCTTTCCAGTAATAAATAGTTTAAAGAAAAACTGATGCATCTCGAGACAGATATATTTTAAGGATAATATTTTCACAGATCTTCTAGCATTAATAATCGATTATATCATGGTATAAAATGCAACGAATGATATGAGCGGCAGCTACAAAATAGCACGAGATTAGCGGAAAATCAGCCGCTACCAGAGCGAATAAATTGAATCGCGCTGATCGAATTAACGAGGTAATTTGTCACGCGACCGATGCGAGAAATTCACGCGTGAACAACACGCTCTCTCTTGTTCCTTCTATCCTCGCTAAATTTTGCCAAGCGAGCCGAACAATTGAACCATTAACCGAGGAGACGTTAGTCATTCAGCTACTCAATCTTCCAGCTCAATCGGCCATTTTCATCCATATTTTAGAGATATTATTCATCTCGGAGGAACTTAAAAGGAACGAGATAATTTTTTGAATCATATCATTTAAATCTTGGAAGGTAATAGATTTTTTTTTTGGAATTTTTAATGGTAGGAAAAAAAATATAAATATATGCTTCTCTAATTATTTTTTCAGGAAAAAATAATTTTTTTTTTACTTATATATCATCGAATAAAATTATAAGATTCTTTTAATATTCATTAATTCGAATAAAAAATAGATATTATTTAGTTTTTGATTCTAGTAATAATCAAGATCCTCTTGCATGATGATTGAATAAATTCTAAATTTTATTATGTAGAATTATGATTCAATTTAATTTTATTAAAAATATCAAAATTTATTAAATTTAATCTTGATTTTTAAATTATGGAAAATAACAAACATTAATTTCCATCGCGAAGAAATAGAATATAACTAAAGTCTTGACTATGAATAAATCATATATTAATGTTAAAATAATCAAGCCCATTATCTTGATAGAGACTATTTTTACGATTACTAAAAATATCAAGCACGTTCGACAAAATTGACTTTTACCGAGATGGAAACGTAATTGTACATATTTATTCCTCTCCACTATACAATTATAATTACAATTATCTTGTTATGATGTATTAAAGTATACATTACAGATTTAATCTATTATAAAAATAATACAATGCAAAAAAAACTTGATTTCGAGCACACGTGGCGAATACACAATGAATCCACGACGATTTTTCAATCAATATATAGCTATCACATTCGTAACGCATTTATCCAAACTCTTAAGATCGATCAAAACCTGGCGCAAAACGTTTTTTCTTTTTTTTTTTTTTTTTTTTTTT